TCCCCAGTGGTGGCGTCACAGCCTCCGCTCCTCCTCAGGTCATCAGGCATCAGATTCTCATAAGGAGTAGGCAACCTCCATCTTGCACGCACAGTTTACTGAAGGGTCTGCTCCTATGAGAATCTAATGTGACAGGAGGCGGAGCTCAGGTGATGATGCTGAGGCGGAGAAGCAGCTAAACACAGAGGAAGCTTCGCTGGCCTGTCTGCACACGGCTCACCTTCTGCTGTGCGGCCTGGTTCTTAGCAGGCTACAGTGTCCGTACTGGGACCCTGGCCCGGGGGCTGCAGGCTACAGCTGTGGAGGGTCCCGTGGCTGACTGGGAGCTGTGTCTTGCTGCTGCCCTGCATGGAGGGCGAATGGTGATCCACATATCACCAGCCTCATCAAACTGCAAGATTCAAAGTAGGTTTCTGCTGACCATGAATTGCTCATGCACCATGATGTTAAAAATCTTAAATTGAACCATCCTAAGTTTTGACAGTCTGGATTTTATAGCTCAGAAGACTCAGGCCCAGAAGAGTAAATCGTTTGCCCAGGGTCTGAATGGTAACTTGTTCAGTGTTCTGTTTGCTCATTCTCTGCCTTTCACACATGCTGTGGCTCATCCCCTCATCTCCACAGTTTGGTCCATGCACTGCTGTTCTTTGGGGAGCAAACTTTGTGCCATCAGAAGGCTTAACACTGAGATCCTGGGGCTAAGTCTGCTCAGATGTGTTTTATTTGGTGCCCTTAAAAAGTCGGATTTCATATAAGATTCTGAATTTCTGGCATTTCATGAAAGATCTGGAAGTCTGGCAACACTGTGCTCACATTCCCGTGTAAGCAGCGTTGGCAGTGGCTGAGCAGAGACCGGCCCTTTTGGCCGGGCGTGGGGCTTGACTTTCCCCAGCTGCTGCCACCTCCGGATGCTGCTGCCTGCACCTTGTCACTCGTTTATGGCGTTGTTGGCCCCTAGGAGGCCTCCGAGTTTGCAACCCTCGGTTTAAGGAAAGAGAACAATATGTCTACCTATATTCTAAAGATAAGATAAAACATTTTAATTGAAGAAATAAAATGCGATAATTATGTTTGAAGAAAGTTTTCTTTTTTTAAAAAAAAAAATAAGATTAGCATTTCCCAGGAGAGACTTGGAATTGTTTTGGTTTGATTTCTCATTTTTGACAACAGAGCAGTTTGACCCAGAACCCTTGGTGACAGTCCTTTTGGATGAAAATCTTTGCAGGGCCTTTTAATTAGGAATTGACAGGGTGATTAACTTATAATTCACAAAAATAAATGTGGAACAGAGAAGTACAGGTCAATTTCTAGCTGTGTTAAACTGTAAGGACAGCACCACTGGCAAGTGATTGCTTCCTTTTAACAGCTTTTCTAATTTTTCTTAATTGGATCCTTTGTTTTCTAATTGGATGGAGAGAACCATCATATGGCTTTCAATTACTAGCTGTGGCATGGTGATCCTGTCGTATGGCACATGGTAAGGAAAGGCAGACTCTGAGCATATGAGATGGAACACGTACCATCTCCAAGAAGCTTTCTGTGCCAGTAAGAAAGAGAGGTGACGCCCATGTCCTGGTAGGTAAAGCTGTGCTGGAATGGGCAATAATAAATAACTAGCTGGACGAGTCCAGAGACTTGTGTTTCTGTTTTTTTTTTTTTGGAGACAGAGCCTCAAGCTGTCGCCCTGGGTAGGATGCTGTGGCATCACAGCTCATAGCAACCTCTAACTCCTGGGCTCAAGTGAGTCTCCTGCCTCTGCCTCCCAAGTAGCTGGCACCACAGGCGCCCGCCACAACACCGGGCTATTTTTTTGGGTTGCAGCCGTCATTGTTGTTTGGAGGGCCCGGGCTGGATTCAAACCTGCCAGGTGTATGTGGCTTAGGTGTATGTGGCTGGCGCCTTAGCCACTTGAGCCACAGGCGCCGAGCCGTGTTTCTGTTTTATAGACGAGATTTCCTCATCACAGACATGCCCCTAAAAATCAAGATTAAAATCGTATTCCTAGGAAGTTTTAAGAATTACACACACATACAGGCAGGTACACACACAAAACACATCCGCGAGAAGATACCGTCTCCTCACAGTCGTTTGTCATTTATTCTCCTCATCACGGTAAATTTAGAAATTCTTTCTCTAGGAAACACCGTTTCTCTATAGCTTTACTATTATTATTTTTTCCTATGATTTTCCTGTTTTATAATCTCCATTGGATCACTTTGGCCTACAGGATAAAATTTGAATATTTCATCACGGTCTGTATCTGACTCCACATCTTTCTCTAGCTGTCTATTCCAAAATTCCCGGGCCTGCCCTTCATCCTTGATTCACTGAGTTTCTTCCTCTTCCTTGGAGATGTCAGGTCTTTGACGACTCTGTTGGCACCATTCCTTCTTCCTGGTATGTCTTCTGCATTATTCTTTGTCTGGTAAATGTTTTCATCGGTCAAGATTAGATTGAAAAAGTTACCTCCCCAGTGAAGCTGCATCTGACTCCCCCACACACAATTGGTTATTTGGTCCTCTGTCGACCAGTGAACCTTGTTCATATCACAGTAATAGCTTCTGTTTTATGTTTACCCATGAATTGAAAAATACATTTTGATCATTTCTATGTATAGATGCTATGCCCTGGGGCTACTTGCTGACCGATATGGCTAAGGTTATAGATTTTGTGTTGAAGTGTAACTAATTCCTAGGAAAGTCTTTCCCTCACCAGACTGTAAAATACAGAAGGTAAGAATATTTTACTTAATTTTCTACTTGTATCATTAGTGCCCAGAATTTTGCCTGGCTTAGAGTAGGTGATTCAGAAATGCTCTTTGGCTTGTCATGACTTCTTGATGGGGAGTATTAATCATTTTTATAAAATCTAACCTCTTAGTCAATCTAGCATGCTTACGATCTCAGCTTTTAAACTTGGAAGGGTTAATATGACCATCGTTGCTGTCTTTGAGGTGGCATGGAAGCTAGTGACCTTTTGGCATAACCTTTTTTATGCCTTCAGTGTGACAAGTCATATTCTGTGAATGGCACTTTGGCTCAGGACCTTGGAATGGTCTTTTCCCAGAGAGGAAACACATTCTCTGATTAAATGCCCTTAGCAAGCAGGAATAGGACACAGCTGGGGTTTGAATCAGGCTAAATCCCATCAGATTGGAAATCAAGAAGCTGCTGCCTTTGAAGATTATGAATCTGGAAAGCAGCAGAGACAAGGGGCTGTGAGTCCCTACCCAGAGCAGGTAGTGCCACTTCTCCTTGGCTTTCACTATTGCTTCTCTCTGGTTGATGCTTCCAGAATAACTTTAAAGATGGACTTGTGTGAAGGGATCAGATTTAGGGCTGGAACTACTAAATCTATTCTTCCTTCTTTCAAAAAGAGGTGTAATAATGTCTGGGGGAAGACCTAATTGAAAATATGGAATGGCGTGGAAGGGAGGACTTGAAAAAGAATGCCAGAAACTCTTGTTTCCTCTCTCTATAGTTTTCTGAAAGGCACAGTTATAATTTTACATTTAAGAATTGCTTAAAGGTAGCAAGTCTGTTAGCTCACTGTTACTGGTGGCTTTAGCTCATGGGGCTCTGCCTCATGTGACTTTTCTTGGCTTGGTGGTGTGTGCATCCATCCTACCCAGTGAAACCAGACTTCAGCAGACACTGGGGTCGCTGCTCTGTTCTTGGCCATGAGCCCACTTACTGGTGCCATTGCTAAAATGAAGACTTTCAAGAGGGGCGAGGAAACCCTCTCCTTTCTCAGGCAGCTTTGTGGATGCTAGAGCTGCCTGCATGTCTGCCTGTCTCCTGAGCAGCCTCTGTCCCTCTCCTGAACACTCCCTCTGGGCAGACGGCTTCTGCCTCTGAGCTCATTATCGCTCTAAGTGTTTGCTCTTGGATCCGTGCTTCACGCGTTTTATTTACATGCTTTATTTTTCATTTTATGAGCAAATCGATAACTAGACTTACTCTTTTATCGCACCGGATTAGTTTTGTTTATTCCATTTGAATTTGATTAAAAAGCTGTCAAACACAACTCTACATTTTTATCAGCAGAATACTTTCATAAAACCCGCATGAGATGTGTTCAGCTAGAACATACTTTTCAAAATAAAACCATGTTTGATATATTCTAGACAGTTACCCTTTTGTTTATCCATGACAACTGAAACTAACCATCAAATGGATAAAGCAATCCAAGTCTAGTCAAGTAATCCATAGGGCATATGAAAAAACAGCCTTTTAAAAAAGTTCTTCCTAGATGGATTTAATGTAATTCACCAATAAAGCATTCTCAGAAGCATAATAAAAATCCTACATAAAATGACACAGCCAAGGAAAAGGGAGATGTACAGTTTGATGAAGATTCAAAATAGATGTTAAAGGTAAAAATGAGCAGTCATACAATTCCTGTGTAACATAAAGATCAAAGTTGCAGGGCACTAATTTTGCTTCTAATGTATAAGATAGTGTGTTTATGAGCCTACAAATAGTATTTATGAAAAAACACATCCAATGGCAAGTGCTTTGAACTGTCATTTTTCTTCAGAAAAGTTGCCATTCAACATGTTGTATTTATAAATTTCACCGCATAGCACCGAGAATAGCTGGGCTGCATCTCCATATCCAAAGATGTTCTGGAAAGGTAAAATATGTCTATTTTGGTTGAGAATCTGATATCTTTGCCCTATTTGAAAACATTGGCTTCTCCTTTCCCGCCTCTTTTGGTCTTACCTGTGTCTAAGGAGGCCTAGGTGACGTGCCTGAGGCAGCAGGGATGCTGAGAAGGCCCGTGTGTGCGCCTGCACCCCCATACTCTCAGCCACACCCACGGTCATGCACCTGCATGGCTGCAACTGCACTGTGATGCCCTGGAGGAGAATTAAGGCGACTTTGGTTACGTGCTGTACTCGGAACCTCATTTCATAGTGTGAGGCACGAATGATGTGTGTCTGGAAGGGCTCAAAGGAACGGCACCAAAGGGGTTAATGTAGAACACATATAGGCAAATATTGTCAATTATTTTATTCAAATGTTTGGAACTTAAACACAAAATCATCATTAAGTTTTCACAAAACGAGGCATCTGTCACTTGAAGGGAAAAAAATATTTCAGAAATATGTTTACAGAAATGTAAAAATATTAGGCATGGAGACAGATGTGAACATATTCAGTAACGTGTCTTGTCTGTCAGTCTTCCGAGCCGAAGATCTTGCTGTACTCGCTCAGCATGAGCTCAGCGATCTGGTTCTGGTAGACCATGTGGACCGCCATGTTCCCTGTCTCATTTTCAGCTCGCAGAAGGGTGGGTCCGAATACAATCCCTAAGCTTTGTGTGGACATCAGGTTCTTAGAAGCTCTGGCCACTATCCTGTGGGGGGAGAGAAAAAGAGGGAAAAAAAATCCCATTGGAGTTTAAAGTGAAATTGTGCTACTTTGAAATTACAAAAAAATTTTCTTGTTCAGGAAAAACAGCTATCGTACATTAATTATCTACATTCATAGTTTACTGTATAGAGATAGAAACTGTGGTTTGGGGGAAAGAATACTTTGCTCTGTCCAACTTTTTATTTCCATAACACCTGGGTATCATGGGTACTCAACAAATACATGTGAAATGAATGAATAAATGGATTAAACAGTAAACATTAATGTGGACTTAAGATTTAGCCTTTAAAATGCTGATAGTCAATGGAGAAAACATGAAGAAAATATGTAAGAATACAAACAAAATAAAGGGAAAATTCTATACATAATTAATAATTGAAGGTAGACATTAGGATAGAGAAAAATTTAGGGTTTTGGTGATTATAGAGTGTTACTGGAGTATGTTTTATAGAGGAGGTAGGTTCTGACACATTTAGGTATATGGCAAAATTCTAAGTGTCTCCAGTCCTTTGGACAGCCAATTTAGCTTATGCTGCCATGCAATACAGTGCCCTGTGGCCTTAGCACAGCAGAAGAATCCCATTGGAATCAAACCAAAGTTTGCTTGTGAGGATCACTGTGTGGAGAACTGCAACACCAATGAAACGTTAGGATTTGGTTTTGGTGATGGTAACGCCTTGCCCTTTCAACACAGACTCCTAAAGAAGAAAATCAAGCCCCATCATAAAAACAGAGACTTTAAAAAATAATGCTTGTTCTCACAACTGGTTTTATAATAACCTACTTGGTTTTATATTAAAATCCAGAAGAGTGGTGTTAGAGTGATGGTAAGGAAGTAAGGATAGGGTAAGGAAGGACAGGGTGCTGAGAAATGCTAAAATCTTCACTCTACCAAACATCCCAACCCAAGGTGAATCGAGTGTAGAGAATAAAGGAAGCAAAGGACCTTACTAGACTTGAGGTCTCTGGTCTCAGAGCTCAGCATGGAACATTGTTGAGTTGGTTGGACTTTAGAGGACTTTGTCCTATGTGGGTCTATCTGGTTCTGAATCCCAAGAGGCAGGAAGACTTGCATTCCAGTGGTCCTGCCATCCTCAGAAGATATGTTCCGGGACCCCCAGTAAATGCCTGAAACTGCAGACAGTGCTGAACCCGACTGCCAGTGATCAGTTTCTGTTTCTGTTTTTCATCCACAGATGTCATGCCTTTCCAGCTCAGCTAAGCATTTACCACATATTGTGGCTGTAACATTTTGCAGTTGGAGGGACAGGAGAAAAACTAGAATGAATTTCTTTTCCTCTCTTTACAATCTCATGAAGGGTTCATTCTTAGCAACCTGAGCAGATGATTTTTTGTTCTTACTAAGTCAAGAACTTTTCTCCTTTTCATTTAAAGGAAGAACTTGAGAGCTGCTTATTGGATTATCTGGATTGCCCCATCACTATTCTTTGCTTTGGGGCCGCCATTAAGTAAAATAAGTAAAATAAGGGTCTTGTGCTTTGGGGCCACCATTAAATAAAATAAGGGTTCCCTGAACACAAGCACTGCCATCTGACTCTGTGACAGTGGCTCTGGTAACAGAGAGGCGAGGACTACTATGTGACTAATGGGAGTGTATGTGTGGACATGCTGGGCAGAGGGAGGCTTCACATCCCGGGCAAGAGAGTGTGTCATGCTCCTCAGAACAGGGTGCCATTTAAGACTTATGAATTGTTTGTTATCGGAATTTTCCATTTCATATTTTCAGACTGTAACAGCCCTCAGATAAACGAAGCCTTGGAAAGCAAAACTGGAGATGGGGCAACTGCCCTTTCTCTTTCCTTTCACAAAACTCAATCTCTTAAGAACTACTTCTGTGACCACAAGGCCACACCTTCCCTTTCCTGAAAGAGACTGGGAAAGACCAAAGCCACATGTGCATTGACTTGTACCTGCCCACAGCACAAGCTCCTGGCATTGGCAGTGGCCAGCAAAATGTACTTGACCTGACCAACGTAAATAGTAAACAACTATTGCTATAAGCAACATTATCATCTCACTTAATCAACATAACAGTCCCAGGGAGTAGCTTCTATTATTAAGCCTGTTTAAAATGTGAGGACTGGAGGTACGCAGTAGCCACAAGGTCAAGGTTACTGAGGTTCAAACCCAGGCGGTTTGGTTCCAGCACTTGTGGGAGCTTCATTGCCCAGGTGTCCGTTTTGACTTCTGGGCCTAACAATTGGGCTGAATTTTCACTCTGCCACCCTCTTTGTGATAGTAAGATTAATTGTTTAGGAGGGTCTGAATTTTTATTCCTCATTGTAGAATTGTGACGGACAGCTTTATTATTGTAGGATTCTTCTGGGTAAAATGACTCTCAAATTTGGATCGAATATTTAAGATATTATGCCTCCATTTTCCTTTTTCTTCTGCTTTAAAGGGAGAGCATTTGTACCTGTGAGAACTGTTGGCATGGCTACATTTCTGGAAGGATTATTATATTTTTAGAGTATCAGTGAGTATCTGAGACTTCAGATTTAAAGTTTCCTTTGGAATCTAAGAAGCCAAGCTGCTTTGCTACTTCATTTATCAAAAGCCTGTTGAGTGATTTAAGCATCCTCCTACCTGTAGCTTGGGCAAATGGAATGGGCCCTTGGTTCTTTTTAACATGCTGATTTATCTCAGTTTAAGATCTCTCTTGAGCCACCCCCAGACATGAATATTATAAAATCCATTAGTAAGATTCATTATGAAGACAATACATATTTTTCCCCTTTGGCTTTAAATTAATACCGTTCTATAATATTAAATTCTTCATTGACTCCACTACAATAAAAAAATTGTTAAAGGCAAATATGGAGAAAGGTAACATAAATAATCAATTGAGTATCTGTTAGATGAAAGATGCTTTAACAACTTTTTCTACTGGTAGCAAAGGTCTAAACTGATAAGATTTATCTAACAGAGAATAGGACTCAGAGACCATAAATCATGGAGAAGGTAGAATCAAAAGCAAAAAAGTATTAAACATGTGACGATAAATGGTCTCTACAGGGCAGCCTGGCCGACAGGGTAGAAGAAGAACATGAGGACCTGGAGTCCAGGGAGCCTGACAGGGGAAAGGGATGATGTAAAGATAGATTGAGAATTGGACATACGCTTACCTATTTCATTATGGCTATAATTTCAGTTTTTGGCAGGGACAGTGAAAATTAGGCTACCTGGGAGCCCAGACTGAGTCATACCCATAAAGTGAGGCTAGAAATCAGTATGGGGGGTTCAAGAGCTGGCTGCAGCAGGAGGAAGACATGGCTGTCAGGAGACTACGAGGTAGAAGTGTGAAAAGCTGTATGTTTATGGAGGAACTTGGGCAGCTCTCCTAGGGCTACAAGGAAGGTATAACTGAGAAGACTTAGGCCATGAGGAAAGAGCAAGAAGGTTATTTCTATTTCCCTAGAGTTTGTTATATTTTTCCCGCTCAGCAAAAGGCCTGGTTTCAGAATCCAGAGCAGGGTCAAATCTAGAGCAAAGACCAAGACTGCAGTTAAATAGATGGGAGAATCAGAGGCTAGAGCTGCATGTCCAGGTTAACCTCTTTTTTTTTTTTTTTTTTTTGGTAGAGATAAAGTCTCACTTTATTGCCCCCGGTAGAGTGCTATGGTATCACAGCTCACAGCAACCTCTAACTCCTGGGCTTAAGCAATTCTCTTGCCTCAGCCTCCTGAGTAGCTGGGACTACAGGCACCCTCCATGATGCCCAGCTATTTTTTTGCTGCAGTTTGGCAGGGGCCAAACCTCCCTCGGTATATAGGGCCAGCACCCTACCCACTGAGCCCCAGGCACTGCCCATGTCCAGGTTAATCTTTTGGGAATGTTTCTTTATCTTAGCTGGTAGACTTCATTGAAGGCAGGGGACGCTGGCAAGGCATTTCTGCTAATGCATCAGTTTCCTCAATTTCCTGTGGACAAATGTTCATTTGGTGCCTTTCTGCACAAAATGTGTAAATATTCATTTCACTTCATGCTTCCCATTTGATTTCAATAAAACTCTAAATTATGAGTGCTTTAAAGTAATTTTATTGTAAGTACAATTTCAGAAATAACACAGTTTAGTATTCTTGGTATATGTGCCTTACTGCAGGTTAGATTTTCTTGGCAGCCTGGAATTTTTTCCTCCTATGTTGGAAAAATTAAATTACTTGTAATAACTTTTACAAAATTCAGATGTAATTAAGAAAGAAAAGTCAATAAGGAAACATAAATGTATATTATATAGAATATATGCTGTCTTGTTTATGTATGCATGTGTGTATATATCTCTGTCTGTATATAAATTGGCAATTTCTTTCTGAATATCAACCAAACAGTAGACACTATGTTAAAACATCACTGTCTTTAGTTTAGAAAAGACAGGGACCAAATTTGGGTATAAGTCACCAGCTACTGAATTATTTAGTTCATGTTGACAGGCAAATATATTCTCATATAAAAGTTTAAATTAGAATAGACAGACCCCTTTCTAATAGACAGTCAGGATAGACATTTTTAGCAAAAAAGCCCCCAAACTGAGGCTGTCTGGGGAAAATGTATTTAATGCTGTTATAAACTTCACCATTCAAATGTGAACTTATATATTTCCTACCTTGCTAGACTATTAAATGGTTAAGTGGTTGATTTAGAAACACACAGGGAATCAACCACGAGTTCAAAAATATAGTTAGAATACTATCCTACAAAATTATTTATATCTCATTTTTTTTTTTACCTCACATCGATAGATATCATAATTTTCACTCTTACTGTGGGGACCAGCTGGGCATTGCCAGTGCCATTATTTCTGAAGGCTTCAACGAGTAAAACATATGTAGAAGAGAAACATAGGCTACTGAAAGAAAGAAAATCGTTGCATGGAAAAAAATAATTCAATCTCCTATCTAAGATGGAAAACTCTCAAAACAGTAAGTTGTACTTCCAGCAGCTTAAACTCGAGTTGAGTTGCAG